AATAGAATAGAATAGAATAGAATAGAATAGAATAGAATAGAATAGAAAATTAGAGTAGAATAGAATCTTAGAATAGAATAAGAAATTAATAGAATAGAATCTTAGAATAGGAAATTAGAATAGAATAGGGAAAGAATAGAATAGGGAAGGAATAAATAGAATAGAATGAGGAATGAATAAAATAAGGAATGAATAAAATAGAATATTAGAATAGAATAGGGAATTAGAATAGAATAGAAAAAAAAAGATTAGAATTGGGGAAGAATAATAGAATAGAATAGAATAGAATAGAAAGAATAGGAAATTAGAATAGAATAGAAAAAATGAATAGAATAGGGGAAGAATAGAATAGAATATTAGAATAGAATAAGAAAATAAAATAGAAAAAATAATAGAATAAGGGAAGAATAGAATAGAATAGAATAGAATAGACTTTATTGTCATTTTAAATGTACACAAATCAACATACATTAAAATGAAATTTCATTGCATTCAGCTCTCAAAAGATAAATATTATTTTCTCTCTCTCTCTCTCTCTCTCTCTCTCTGTCACACATACACACACACACACACACACACACACACACAATCTCATTTCCAACCAGCCTCCCTTGTGTCCTGATGCCAGGATTCTGTCAGAACTTTGTTGAAGCACTACCGATCTTTAAACTCCTCTTCTGATTAACGCAGTCCAGATCACAAACATCAGACCACTAAACAACACCCTGCAGAAAACGAAGAGCAAACTCAACATTGCTTGTGACTCTCCCCGCCCCCAAACCCTACTACGATTCTGTTGTGTTTTCCTTCTTTTCCAGGGTGGGCCAGAAACTGAGGGGCGAAGCACCAGAGCCGAGAGCGCCTGGCTGTTCCGAGTCTGGTATAACTTCGACCATAAGTATCCTTCGCAGGGATCAGGGGGTGGATTTGGACCCCGAGTTCCCGCATCTGCAGCCAGAGATGGCCGAAGCATCTTCCCTTCCTCAGCTGTGCATTCTTGTCTCTCGTGGCCATTTATCTGGGCTCGGGACCAAGAAATGCAGAACGCTAGATCTCTCGTATGTGCCATGCCTGCAGGGGCAGAAGATTATTTTAGTTTTCTTCCAGTCTCTGTATCCCCAACCCCCCACCCCCAACCCGAATTTTGACACCAGGCCAGCTCCCTGCTGTGTCCAGAAGTGACCGAGCCCAGGCCACGAGCAACAAACCTTGGAGAAGCCTGAAGCCAAAACTTATACTGAGCAATGTAGGATTTCAGGGTCAAAGCGTTATCCCTCTGCTCCTGCAAACTACTTTCTTCTTAGAATGGAGGTGGGCCAGACCTCTCTCGCGCTCCGTGGCGGAAAGCAGAAGAGAACTAACAGTGGACCAAAACCATAGTAATAGTTGTGATGGCTTAATGTAGGAAAACAGGGGAGGAACTCTGCAAGCAGGCGTAGAGGAATCCCGTATGGCGGGGGCTCTCGACCTGTGGCCCACCAACCCCTAGCGTGGGCCACAATGTCATAGGAGGTCAGCGAAGGCTTAAAGAAACATTATGATTTCCATCTTAAGCCTTGGGGGACCCTGGCCACAAAAAGTAATTAAAGGGGAAGAAATCACAGCCGTATGGAAAAGCCATCATTGCTCAGTTGATCAGGCCTTATAGCAGCAACTATGGCAACTTTACAGCTTCAACTCCCAGAATTCCTGTGCCAGCGTGGCCGTCACGTGTGTGCGCCAAGGAAGCATTGGCAAAAGCTTTTAAGAAACCCTTTTTAGGAGTTTAGGAGAGAGTTTGTTACTTCTGTTGCTTTAGGTAATTTTAATTGCCCTGTTTCCCCCAAAATAAGACCTAGCGTGTTTTTTACGCATGTGCCTAATATAACAGCAGTAGCCCTTAGACTTGTCTACCGCTTTGTGGCCCTTTCCTCCGCGAGCAAGCCGAAGACGGCCTCCTGGACATGGGCAAAATAAGGCCTCCCCTGAAAATAAGCCCTAGTGCTTATTTGGGAGTCCAAAAGAAAGTCAGTTTTTGGAGAAACAGAGGTAGCCGTGCTAGAAAAACCATATCAAAGTCTTGGCTTTGGATAAAAGTGTACTCTTTCCCAAAAGAGAGATGGCTCCTTTGCCTTAACCCCTCCTCAGCTATTTAAAACCTCTCTTGACGCACAGCGGGCCCCCCCTCACCACCACGCTCCCCAGTTGCTGTGGGCCCCTTGCAAGGTGTCTGACGAGTCCGCAGGCTTACGAGGTGAGTCCAGGAGTTCCCCCAACCCCCAAATGAAGGACCTCCCGTGGCTCAGCGTTGCGTTCATCTTGGCCTGCTCACTGTCACTAAGGTGGGCCGGGCAAAACCCGAGGATAATCCGTGCGTGGGGTTGGAGAGTTGACGTCCAGAAAAGGAGAGCAGGCCCTCAGGGAAGGGAAGAGTAGTTTGGGTTGTCCTTTGTTGAGGTGGACTCTAGCCTCTTCGTTGGGTGTTCCTTCTTGAGGTTGGGAATGTTGTTGTAGATACTAAGAAGTTGCCCAATTCTCTTACTGAAGCTGCTTTGGACTTCTGCTGTTTAGTAAAGCCATTGATCTTCTCCTCTTCCTCCTCCTACTTCCTCTCCCTCTCCCCTCCCCTCCTCCTCCCTTCTGTCTTCCTCCTCCTCCTTGTCTTATTTCTCTTTTTCTTCCTCCTATTCCTTCTCTTCTCTCTCTCCCTCTCCTCTCCCCTCCTCTCCTCCCTTCTTCCTCTTCCCTTCTTCCTCCTCGTCTTTTTTCTTTTTTTTTCCTCCTCTTCCTTCTACTCCCTTACTCCTCTTCTTTGTGTTCTTTCTCTTTTTCTTCCTCCTATTCCTCTTCTTCCTTCTCTTCCAATTCTTCCTTCTTCCCCTTCCCCCTCTCCCCTCCTCCCTTCTCCCTTACTCCTCCCCCTTGTGTTCTTTCCCTTTTTCTTCCTCCTCTTCCCATTTCTTCCTCCTTTCCCTCCTCCTCCTCCTCCTCCTCCTCAGAATCAAGAGCAGCTGAAGGACGACGATTCAGATCTGATATTGAACGACGGAGACATCAGCCTGACGTACGGGGATTCCAGCGGGAACTCCGATTCATTGCCATCGGGCGCCTCCAGGCGGGTGGCCGGGAACGGTTCCGAGGACACCCTGGACCAGGAGCTGGGCTTCGGAGACCATGAACTGGTCATCCGGGGTACACGCCTCGTTCTCCCCATGGACGACTCGGAGCCGCCTTCCGGCGTGGTTGACAACGCTCGCCACGGCCCAGCGTAAAGACCGGTTCCTTGAGACGACGCGGAGTCCAAGGAAGAGGAACCAACGACAACCAAAATATCCGCAGACAGTGGCGAAGAAAAACCTGGCTATCGGTGATTCCCCCCCTCCGAAAAAAAACCCTACCGCCCGTCTCAGGAGCGTTTGAGCTGTATAAATACGATTTATTTATACGATGTCAGGCCAAATCCCCGCTGTCCGTGCATGGCAGTTCTCGGGGAGTGAGCTGTTGATTTTGTACGCTTAGAAGCACCCATGTGAAATGGATGGGACTTGCACCAAACAGCAGTGGAACTGTCTTCGATCCAATTGGGCCACGGGGAACGTAGAGACTTGTAGGGCAAAGCGGCTTTGCAAAACAAGAACCTTTCCGGTTCTATAGAATTATGTGTCATTGTTGTCGTTGTTTGGGTTGGGTTTTGACCATCCAAGTGCCCATTTTGCTGATGCCAGGGAAGGAGGGAAGGGAAGAGAAGGAAGGAAGGAAGGAAGGAAGGTAGGTTAAGATTGAGCAGTGGGGAACTTAAGACGAGGTGGCCAAACTGCAGTTAGGCAGAAGATCAAAGAAAAACCAAAGGTTTTTTTTTGCTTGAAATCTTTTATTTTGAAGAACATCTCCTGGATGTTGGACGGATTTGGACAAAGGGGCTTCTCTTTTGGCCACCTGGCTGTCCACATTGAAGGGAGAATTAGCCGGACGGCAGATGCGGTGGGCATAACAAGCTTCTAACTTGGCAAGTTGTGTGTGTGGGTTGACAGGAGTCAACCTCCTCGGTTGTCCCAATAGAGAAGGTTGTCCTCTTAAGACACTGGAGGTGGATCATTTTATCATTATTTAGGTTTTCATTTTTCTCTCGCCTGACCCCACCGCGTTTAGGGTGAGGTGCCGAATTTACGGAGTACCTAAATAGCTACCGTTTCATTCTTTTTGTGCAGAGAATTCTACATGCGGCTTCAAGGAGCAGGTTGGAGGCACCCAAAAACGGCCGTGTCGATTTTGAGCTTTCTATTCTAGTGGCTGGGGTGGGGGGGTGGGAGCAGAATTTTTTTTTAATGGGTGCACATCTGCAGACTAAACAAACAGCTGGAGCAGCAGCACTTGGGACTGTCCAAAAGACAAAGGTAGAGATTTTACAGGGTTGGTGTTTTTTTTTTTAAAGATACTTGGAACATCTGTGCATTTGTATAGTTGCACTCCTTGGTATTGGTTGCGTGATAATGCACATTTGTGTGTGTGTGTGTGTGTGTCTATAATGGGGGAAAGAAATTTCTGTCTCATTGTTTACAATTCAGTGAGAAAAATGCCAATAAGGCCTGTTGCTTGACGTTTGTTTTTTTTAAAAAAAATTTCTTCACCTAGGAAAGAGCTCTGAACAACCTGCTAATTTTTACATTCAAGTTTATTCAGATTTTTCTCTTCTAACTTTCCGTTTCACTTGTTTTGGAGGATTTTCATCGCATCTTTTCCAGGCACGCTGGCAGATCCGGGTCACTTACCGACTGAACCTCATTGCTTTCTTATGCCGAAAACACACAAAACCAACTCTCACATTAGAATTTCGAAATGCTTTTTTAATGCCCCATTTTATTCTAGTTACTAACACTCCCTGTTTTTTTAAAAAAATCCTGCTTTTCAAAATGGGTTTCATTTTTTTAAAGATTAGCACAACCTGCAAGCAGCAAGCAGTATATAGTTTCCCTTTGGCTAGCCATTCAATTCACCAGAGAAATTTATCATCCTAAAATAAACCTTGTACCCCCCCACCCACCCACCCCCGGCGTGCTTTGGAGGAAAACCACGCTCCAAAATTGTGAAATGTTTGTAACCATTTTGTGCCCTGGAAGCAGGCTAGGTAGCTGTAGACATCCTGCATTTCAGCCTATAAAGTATAACTTTGCATGTGTGCCTTTTCTTTTTTTCTTTTTTTCATTTTCTTTAAAACGAGAACTTTTGAGCTGAGATTTTTTTCTTCCCCTCCAGAACAGAAAAACGGAATTGCTTCATCTTTTTAAACCTTAAAGAAGATTGGCTGTGCTGGACTTTTCCCCCCTTCTTTTGGTCCAGCAAGGAACCGATTCCATTTCAGCCACGTAAACAGATTACTTTTTGTTTTCCAAAAGTTTCCGGTCTGAATTAACTTTCTCCAAGTCTCCTTCAGAATAATTTTGGGGACCTGCCCAAGAATGGTGAGCTCTATTCCTTCCCTTTTGGTTGCATTCTGCTTTCATCGTGTCCCACCCACCTTTTTCAAGAGTCGCCCCAATTCTGTAGTGACACCACTTGCCTGAGAAGTGTCAAACTTCACTGCACTGGAAAAATAAGATTTTTTCCCCCCTTTCTCTCCCAAACTTACTTCGTTAGGTAACATTAGGTCTTTTATTATTTTTATTATTTTTTCCTGCTATGCAGGAACGTCATTCAATATATGTGAATGCATGTTGTGCTTCTATATAATGTCTGTATCTTAATGTCCGATGTTAAAATAATAATAATAATAACAATAGTACTATTGCTAATAATATGAGAAATGTTCATGTGATAACGCTTCGGTTTCCAATGTTTCTAAGCAACTAAGCTAGTGATCTTTTCAGCCTGATCAGTCATGGAGTTTGCAGACTTTTCTGCATCAGAAAAATGTAGAATTTTGTCAAGGAGACATAACTTTGTCTGAAATGGGGGATCACCCTTCTGCTCCGTCCTCCCCAATTTGGAAGATTTGCAGACTCCGCTACCAGTTAAAGTTTCTTGTTTGTAAATCATGACTTAAGGCCCCTTGTGGAACTACAGTTCCCAGCAGCCTCAAATGCCAGGCTGGGAATTAAGAGTGCACCAACATCTGCAAGGTGGCAGGCTGTGCCCTTATGTGGGCTTCAGCAACATCTGGAAGGCCCCATTTTGTCCTGCTTGGAGGCCGCCTTCGCTCAGAACCATAAGTAAAACAAGGTCCCTTGCGATTTTGGGTTGTGTGCCTAAATCTGGTGTCTTATCGGCAGGTAATAGATTAAAAGTGGGGCTGACAAGTTTAGGGAGATCCTAGATCCCAAGGGAATCGGTTCTGCTTTGCTGCCTTAAACTGGACAAAAGAGGGAAGCCCCCACGCCCAACTCCTTGGTTGTGCCTCCTCTACCCTCAAGTGCAAGTTGTGCAGTGCCAAACTATTCCCGTAAGCACCACCTCACACGTTTTGTTATTTATTTAAAGCAGCCACTTGCTAATGTGTGTTGAGGAGCGAGGACTTGTGATGTAACCGTAGGTTGCAGTGCAACCTGGTTTAGAAACCTGGCAGAGACCTCTTGGTTTCAAAAAGCAAGCAGATAGTTCCCGGTGGTCCATTGGAGAGGACATCCTTGTGACATCTTCTTGAGAAGGTGTCCTCCTAACGGGAACTCCTTGCATTCATTCTTTCCTGAAACCTACATTTAAGAATGTAGGTTTGTTACAAGCTCCTTTGGGGAAAAGGCAACCTGATCTTCAGACAAACCCACCCCTCTCTGAGACCAAAATTCTGCATCTTTGAGAATTTCTCTTTCTAAACGTAATAATAATACACTCCCTAGTTTTTCAGGCAAGTTTGCCCTTAAGGCATCATAACAACCACCACATCACTCCAGACTTCGAATGCCTGGGATAGTTTTCAACTGCTGGTTGAGTTGGGAGATGGATCCCAGGTTTCATGGTAATCGAGAACGCTGACACCAACTGCGGTTCCTCCAGGATGAACCACAATCTGCCAGAAATGAAGCACGGCGTTGATAAGTGCCCATTTCTTTTTTCGGTGCCGCAAGAAAAGCAGTTCCCTTGTGCTTAATTTCTCTCGTGTGTCTAGTGCCCTGTTCCTAACACGACCTCAAAAAAGTGGGGATTTATAAGCTTGTGACTCCAGCTGTGGGTTTAAAATCAGTTTCCCTCAAAATACGCTTTTTTTTTTTCCTCTGTAAAGATTCGATTTCTGCATCGGTGACATTGTATGTTCAAGTTCTAGTGTTCTCGATTTACTGTTGAATTTGTCTCTTTTTATGGTATTAACTGCTGTAGTTGTGGCATTCTTGTAACGATAACCCTTGAGCATAATAATTGCACCTTTCTTTTTGGTTGATGATAACTCAAATCCTTTATTGTTACTCGCACTGTAAAAGAAATCATGGGCCTATAAAATAAGTGTCTTTGAAAGGGATGCGTCTTCATGGTTTTTCACTCCATGCGGCAAATGTGCTTTTAAACGTTATTTTTCGACCGGTTGGACTTCGTTGAGGGTTTTTTAAAGTCACGTTTTGTCTTGCAGCTGTAAATCTCATACCACTGAAAGAAGTAAGGACGTGTAAAGTGGAAAAGGAAGAAGTATCAGTATTCTGTACAATAACCCTATCGTAACCTAATTATTTAAATAAATAAAACAGCTTCTTTATCAAGCTGTGTGATCTGGCGATCAAAGTTTGGACCTTACAGTTTTCTCCAACTACCTGCATTAAGCTAAAGAAAGAATTTCTTCTTTCCAAAATTGCAAACCTGAATCACTTAACAGAGTTGGAAAATATCCCAACAGCTCTACAACGTTAAAAGTTTTCAACTCTGGATGTCCTTTGACAATGGAAGCAACGTATTTGTCTTAGCCTGCTTGTTTATCCTTCCATAAATAATGGGCTCATTGACCAGGCCTAAGCCACATTACTGAAACTGTAGTTTGCTCAATAACTTGGTTCTGCCATCTAGCTTGGGGAATTGTGTGTTTCTTTTGAGTCTGTTTTGAATCCATGTGGACTCCTTGCTTGCAGAGTCTCTGGAGTTTGGGAAAGGGTTTGGAAGTGGTTTTGCCATTTCCTCCTTCCTAGGGCTGGGAGAGAGTGGCTGGCTTAAAGTGGGATTAGAACTCAGCTTCCTGGCTTCTAGTTTGTTGCTTTCACCATGACAGCTCTGCTCTGGTGGTGAGAATCCTGCTATATGGCTATATTGTTGTGCTTTTTATTATTTTAATAGCTTAATTGCTTTGGATGCGTGTTAATAGTCTTTGTTGTATGAATTGGGTTCTTTGGGAGATAATTTTTTTGCACGTTGAGCCTATGTAAGATAGCTCAGCTGTTACACATTAGACCATCAAACCTATAAGCCAATTACCTGGATTCACACTGCTGAGTGGAAGCAGGTTAAGTTGGAAACATGTACGGCCCCCATGGCTACGTGGCATTTTTCTTAAAAAGTCATCCAAATCTAACCATTTACCTTCAACTTGTGTAAAAAATAAGGCAGGGATCGACACGTTTACGTACAGTCTGGGTCACCAATTGACTCTCTCCAACCTTCTGCCCTTATGGGACCAGTTCACAAGTTCAGCTCTTTAAAAAAAAGGCTGGTTTTAGGAAAAGGAAAGAAGCATGAAGCTTTTTCCAAAATACGAAACTCGTGTTGGGCCATCGATAGCTCCAAAGAAGAAGAACCCTGCTTAAATAAGCAAAGGTAAAAGCCGCAGAATTATGATCCAAATCACAAGAGAACAAAATTTCCCACATGGATTTTTATATGCTGGAACCTAAGAATTTGGATGTAAGATGAACTTTCGAATGCTTTATGGCTTATTTAGGCAGGAGTTTCTCTTAGCAGGGATTTTTTTTTGCTTCCAGTCGCCTCTTTCTCCCCAAAATATCCAGCTTTCCTGCCCTGCCCGCAGAGGGTCCAAACTCTTGGGAGGGGGGGTATGGCCTTTACCAGCTAGAAGTTGCCATATATGGCTGCAGCCTCCCAACGTGGTGGGTGTGTGTGTGTTTGTGTGAGCCACCCTCATTTCTAAGGTGATGTATGTTTCGCTCCTTCCTTTTACATAAGCTCTGGAGAATGTGGAAAGCAAAATATAATCGCTCACCAGTCAAAAATCCGTCTCTTCCCACATGCTGGCTTTGCAAACAGCACCAGGTTGTTTCCTCCTGCGATACATGAGTGCAAAAAAAAAAAAAAAACCATCAAAGCAGCCCAGACTCTGCTTTCTCTGGCCTTCGCCCCAGCCACATGCTTTCCCATGCTTAGGAGCCGTGTTCTGCAAAGCCCAACAGATGAGGTTGGCCAGACACTCTACGCCAGAAGCTAACCTCTCTGGGCTACGTCCACCAACCCCGGCTAAGCGGAAGAATATTGGAGTTGAGGGGTCCACACTATCCTGTGAACTGAGTCCATAGCCTATCCGGGGTTTGCCAAATCTCTTGAGCCGCCCTTGGACCATCAAGTGAAGGCTTGGTGGTCCTTCAAGAGGGATAATCTCCAACTTCCTTCCTCTCCAGCCACCAGCTCTGATCTTCTCTCTTTGGGTCTCACACACATACACAACCCTCTCAGGCCACAAACCAGCCCAGTTGCACTTCAATTTTGGCCCAGCGCGCAAACCAACAGCCGGTTTGATGAGCCCACCGCAGGGTTGGGCCAGAGGAAGCCCCAAACCAGGTTGCATTAAGCAAGTAAAGTCAATGAAGTAAAAGCAGCAGCAACGAGCTGGAGAAATGGATTCAGAAACACAGCAAAGTTGGCCTTGGTTCCTTTCTGGATGGGAGACCACAGAGAAATTTCACGCTTCGTAAAACTAGCAGCTTATCCAAGCGGAGACTTGGATGTCTGCTTTGGAAACTCTTGCTGGGGAAAAAAAAAAAGATGTTTCCTTATTTAGTTCTTTGGAATCGGTTAATTAGGGTCACTTCCTTCTGAGCACGTTTTGCAATAAACAAACCGGGAAGCTTCTCACCTCCCTCCTTTCTTCAGTTTTCAACATTTCCAAATAAAGCTTTTTTCTCAGCTGCAGCTGCTTCATCAGTGACTAATAAAACAGCCTCTTCCAAGACACCCCAACTGGGGCTGGGCTCTTGTTTGGAGAGCAAGCCCAATCTTCATTTATCTCCCGCTTCATTATCCCAGACAGAGGGAAACGTGCCCAGAAAATCCCAGCCATCTTCGCGCTCGGCATTTGGATGTAGCCATTTCGTTTGAAACCTCCCTAAATCTTCCTAAACCTTCCGTCCTACATCGTGTCTTTCCTCCTCGCTTGTCGCCCCTGTCTCTTCCTCTCTCTCTGATCATTTCCCAAACTTCAGGTGGAGATTTTCTTCCAGAGGAAAATAAGAATCCCCTTTTACCGTTTATGCAGCAAAAGGGTTATTTCTAAAAGAGGATGAAGGCCAGGCTCATTGCTTGAGAAATATGGGGTTTCCAGTTAAGAAATCTTTGCCATTTTCCCTTGAGTGATTGCTATAAAATGTCCAACTATGTTAGCAAGCCGACTCTTAAACCCTTTAAGCCGATAATCCTTTAGAACTGGGCTGCTTAACCTTAGCAATGTTAAGATGAGTGGACTTCCAACTCCCAGAATTCCCCAGCCACCACGCAGACCACTCGGTAACATGAAGATATGTTGACCAAACGATCCAGGTTTGGTCCAACTCCTCTTACGGGACAGTATTAAAGCTGTGAGGAAATGTTTTTATATGGAAACAAAATGGGAAATATGGGAAGACAAGGTGAAGTTAACAAAGCGTGGCAAAGAAAAATTAGGGGAAGGACATTTTGTTTCTGGTTTCAAAATCCTGCAACCTTGATTAGCTAAGAAGGCTGGATTTGGGATGGATGGAAGGAAGGAAGGAAAGGAAGGGAGGGAGGAAGGAAGAGAGGGAGGGAGGGAAAGGAAGGGAGGAAGATGGTGAGTGAGTGGATAAAGGTAAGGAAGGAAAGGAGGGAGGAAGGGAGGGAGGGAGGAAGGAAGGAAGGAAGGAAGGGAAGAAGAGAGGGAGGGAAAGGAAGGGAGGGAGATGGCGAGTGAGTGGATAAATGTAAGGAAGGAAAGGAGGAAGGAAGGAAGATGAGTGAGAAAGAAAGGAAACGCCTTCTGGGTCTGCCAGCAGTGCCCCTTCATCCCGGTGCCGGCCTGCCAGTCCTGTATAGCCTGGGCTGCCCAGTCACTTGTCTGAGATTGTATAGATTCTCCTGCTTGAAGCAGGGGGCTGGAGTAGAAGACCTCCAAGGTCCCTTCCAGCTCTATTCTAAAATTCTGTCCTAAATTCAAACGTTACCTCCGATACCTCCCCATAGGAAGAAACGCCAGCCAAGAATGCACAAGCAGGTGCAATTCACACCTGGCCCCCTGGATCTCCCAAGAGGGGTGCAAGACTGCCACTGCCTTTCATTCAGGAGACTCACCTGGCACGTTTGCCAGCCCTTCCCTAGGCACCAACTTCCCTGAAACTCTTTCCCCCCCCCTTAACAGATTACAGATAATCAGAGTTGGAAGGGACCTTGTAGGTCATCTAGTCCAACCCCCTCATCTACGCAGGAGAACCCTGCACCATTTCTGACAGATGGCAGTCCAGTCTCTTCTTGAAAGCTTCCAGGGATGAAGCTCCCACAACTTCTGAAGGCAACTTCTGTTCCATGGGTTGATGGTTCTTCGCTGTCGGAAAATTCCTCCTTATTTCCAGGTTGAATCTCTCCTTGATCAGTTTCCAGAAATCTCCTTCTAAGAAATCTCTTCCGTTTCGTCTTCACCCAAAAAACTGAGTGGG